AATAAAAAATAGTCAACTTAGGCTCTGTGGTGCTACTGCTTAATATAAACTGCAGCTGTCATTCATTTTTTCAGTGAGCTTTTTACACTTTGTCAGATGTAGAGTGAACCTTTTAAACCAGCAACTGACATCCATTTCTGAACTAATACTATGCAATAAATAAGAAAACGATAAACAAATAACCTATTGCTGAAGCACACGCACATAAAAGTTTAATAACTACTCAAAAGTATGAATATGAAGCACTTAAAAAGCACTTTATGTAAGAAATGAAAATAATTAAGAAAAGAAGTTGAACTCTCTGAACCCCAAGCAGTGTCTGGGCGTTTTTGGGAGCTTTTTTTTGTGGCTCCCATCATATTTTTTACTCACTATTAGCTCATTTTTACTGCAATATAAAGTCCTGCACCTCTACGAAAACAGCACAATCATGGCTAAAGGTAGAGAAAACTCAAACATGTATTTTTTTGCAAACACTAAAGTTACATTTCTCTGATTATTTAGTTTCCAAAACTTAAAAAAAAGTCGGAATTGGCATACACAACATTTCTCCAAGAGCCCAAAGGTGTTACCAATGGTAGCTTTACATACAATAGCTATTTTTAGTACTTACATTTTTAATTTGTAACGCGTAAAACATCAACTTTTCACACTTGTCTCTTATCGCTGTGTCAACACCACCTGCAGTTGAGCTGAAAAGTTCCTGAATTTTTGTCATTGGACTGTTGGTCGCAGCTGGAGTGGCTTCTCTGTTGTGTCAAAGAGAGCAGAATTATTTGTTTTCAACAGAATCAGAGTAGTCTATACTGTTTATTTTTGGCAATTTTTTTCCCACGAGACATGAAAAATCAAACAGCATTTTAAGCTTAGATTTGAATTTGCAGTTGAAGGCATGCCACGGATGAGTAGTTCAAGGACCATCGGAAATTCTTAGTTTCTATCTCTGATAAATAGCATGATTTTGGCAATTATTTTTTTTAAGGGAACGTGCCTTTCAAACCTCCAGAGGGGGTTTTGGAGTTCAGAGTGTTAAAGGAGCAGAGTATGAGTTAAAAAGAAGATTTTAAAGGCATATAAAAAAAAATATAATGCATATTGAAAGTAAGTTGAACTACAGTCACATATGTACACATTCAAATATTACAATATTTAAGCTTTGATTTAAAAGAACTACGGCTTGAAGCAGATGTTAAGATTTGTTCGTGTCATATCTACGTGTTTTTGTAGATGCTGCCTCTCTGGTTGCAGTATGCCATGTGCAATATGACTACTTAATGTATCAGAGACTTAAAAGTCAGGATTTAATACTATATCATTTGTGGCATCATTCATTATATGATAGAAGTGTTTTGTGTCTAAAAAACCCTAAAAAGTCCCAGTTTGTTTTATGTCTTCTTTGGGAATTAATTTGATCGTGAGCTCGTAAAGAGTCCCTGTGTTTCCCCAGACATGTTTGTGTTGCCTTATTACAGGGAAGAGCATGGCTCGTAAAAGTGTGCGAGTTTGTGTGTGTGTGTATGTGTGTGTGTTAGAGAGAGATAGAGTGGGAGAAAAAAAGAAAGAGAGAGATCCTGCTAGCTGAGCAGCCTGCTCTCTTATTGGAGAGCTGTAAAAACTCCAGACCGCAGGAGTTGCCAGCCTGGAATTCACTAATGACACACGTGGGCCTCAGATGAGAAGTGCAATTTTGTGTGTGTGTGTGCGCGTATGTGTGTGTTACAGTCTTTTCAGTTTGGATCAGAAGCCTCAATTTGTGTGTGTGTGCATATGTGAGGCCCTATCTCATCGTCTATTGTGCACGCGCTTGTGTACAAACATCTACAGCTCCTACAGATGCACCGTCCTCCCTCAAAACAGGGGGAAAAAAATGGCTGCTGTGCAAACATAGCACACCTAGACTAATCTCAGTCCCGGTTTCACCCGAATGTTAATGGGAGGAGGGCCGCCACCGTTTTTGGCCCAAAGAGAAGGGGGTGATCGGTGGAAAATGAAAGGAATGGGGCCACAGGCACATGGGTCTTTAAATCCTCTGTGTCAATAGAGTCTCTGGAGCAAAATAATGGCATCACTCTGTGTGGGAGTTAATGTGAGCTGATAGCATGAGGGCCGGGGGGTCAAGGGTTCACGGGCTTGCGCTAGGTTGACAGAGAGCTGAATGCTTTCCACCCCCGACTCCCCTTCTCCGCCGCTGCGAACCTCCTCTTTAACTCCGGACCTGAAGGAGAGTCACGGAGGGTGATGGTGAGGGATGTCAGCGGACCAGAGTGGGGTGATCGGTGTTGACAGGTTCAGGCCCCTTTTCAAAATACGACAAATTAAAGAGAAAAACAGGAATGAAGGGAAACAAAGTGGCTGCAAATGCCTCCGTTCGCAACATTACCGAAGGTGATTTTAATCAATCAGACGACACGTTTACAAAATCTTTGCAGGTATACAGCGAGTACAGCTATGATTTTCCTTCTTCCTCTCCTCCATCTTCTACCTCTCCTTCCTCTTCTCCTTTCCCTAGTTCTCCTCCTCGAAGTGAAATCATTCATGATCGACGCACAGCCTCGTTCATTTATTTAATTGGTTTTGTATTTTAGATGCTAGCACATCAGTCACACCACAGCCTCATGCAAAGTTCTGCAGCAGCTTTTTCCTATAACTTCGAAGCATGTTTGTAGATTCTTACTTACTTAGATTCACTGAATGATCTGACTTATTTCAGCCTGACTCTGTCGTGTTTACATCACCTCTATGCAGTCACCTCTTTCACTAAATATAGCATCTTTGCCTCACGTCTCTCCATCTGCACGTTCACAGGTAGAAATTATAACAACAACAAAAAAAAAAAAGTCACCCCAAAATCTGACAACACTGTGGTCAGTTTGTGTTTCGTTATTCTGCTGGACATTAGGTTGTAATTATGAGATCATAAGTCAAAATTATAACGTCTCCCAATGTAATTGCAGCGTCCCTGGTTTGTGTCTGGCTCAGGACTTTTGCTTTTGGGCTGTGTGGAGATTTTAGAGTGATGTGTTATACGTTGTGTCTTCCACCAAAATGGTCAATGCACCAAAATAAGGAAATATCTTGTTGGTAAAATGGTGTTTCATTTCTTCAGGGGCGTTTAGAGGATTTAGAGGAGAAACGAATGACCCCGAACCCAAACTATGAAAGTTCTTCCCTTTATTATTGTAGCTCATTCACTATGGGAGAATTGATCTTTGTTGTCATATTTTGCTGCCGTTTTGAACTAAAATATTTTACAATTCGGAGGAAATCGTGTGTTCTGTTACATTGTTAGGACTATAAAACCAAGGATGGTTGTTAAAGGTTGTTTTGAGAAGATGGAAGTTCATGCAAAAGTGATTCCTGAAGTGAGTAATCTGCAAGAGGAGGATATGGGGGGATATGGGTTGTAAGAAGAGGGAACACATCGAACAGCTTTGCCTGAAAAACACATGTGAACTCAATCAGCTGATGATTTGGTCAGAACAACCTCCAAGACACAAATAACAGGCAGCATCAGTGGCAACAACAGTAAGAACCTTTGATCATACTGCAGGCATCTGGACATCTTGTTGCGTTCATTACTTTTCTGCTGCTGCTGCTTTTTAAATATGTTCTTTATCATTAAAATGCTTGCTCCTGTGTTTTAGTATGGTCTTGTTTACAGGCATAGTTTGGTTTGATTTGGTTTATTATCTCCAGTAGATGGCGGTTTGTATGCCAACAGCTTGGAGAAGCAGACAGGAGGTATGATGTGGAAGCTCTGTGATAAACGGTCTTGTATGGTGTCAGCAACAAAGCATATTTTATTCACCTACAAAAACCAACCTAAATGTACACTTAGGTTTTACATCAGTCGAGTTGCCTTCAAAGCCACCAGACTGTATTAACAAAAACACTAGTTTTACCGTGCAGAATACAGGAGTTACTTGTCTACCGCTGTACAACTTTGGTGTTTTAACATGATAGTTACACGATAACACAAATAAAATAACCAACTGAGGTGGTGTTTGACCAGCATCTCCCCTGTTCTAAGGGGGAAATTACAGTTTTTGGCTTTGAAGAGAGTAATATACCTCCCTCTATCCCCCATCAAAAAGGGTTTTCTGACAGGAAAGTAAAGCAGTAAAAATACTCTAAATATAGGACACACTTAAACTGATGTAAATTTTTTAAAGTGGCCTTTTTCTAGGTGGTTAAATATGTTTTGCAGTTGACCCTGTTCACAGCAGTTCATAGATTAGCTTCCCTACAAGTCCTCCTGTCTGCTTCTCCAAACTGGGGACATACTGACCATCAGCTGCTGCTGCTACTATTGACAAATACCTCACATGACCAGACTTCCAAGAAACTGTACTATCCCTACCGTATAGCATAAAGAAACACTGAAGCATTCACTCGCAATTAGAATGAACTCAGAAATTGCCTATTTAACTCGATGACCTTATTAAACATGGGTCTCTACTACATGACAGTACATCAGCTGTTAATAATGTTAAGTGTTGGTAATGATATAATGATCCTTGTCCTGATAGTATACATCAAATCCTGGGACTTTTACTAGAAAGCAACTAAACTTCTGTTTTAGGTTCTTAAAGACATTTTACCTTCAGATTAATTAGACTGATTCCTTGACACACACACACACACACACACACCCACACACACACTCACACATATACATATTAATAGATTGATTCAGATTAGAGTTGCCTCTTGGATGAGAAGTACACATCTTCATATGTTCAAGTTGCTTTTTGCTCCTAGGATTACCATGACCTGGATGACTGAAAAACTAAAGACATCATAACCAAATGTCTTTGTTTCCCCACCTCTACTGAAAAGAGAGTCCAAATGTTGGCTTTCGTTCATCAGTACTTCCTCACCGATCCTCCTCCTCTGCTACTCCAGTACCACATAATCCTCCTCCCTTCAAGAGGAATAGCTGATGTAAAACAATGACCAGAGCAAACGTTAACTCTTCCTCCTCTCCTCTGTCCCCTCAGACACTGGTACCTCCCTCGGCTCCTCAACCTCCGGCGGTCATCGCTCTCACTGGTGCAGCGTTGCCTACTGGGAGCAGCGCACTCGCGTGGGTCGCCTCTATCCCGCCTACGAGCCCTCGCTCAGCATCTTCTATGACCTACCTCAGGGCACTGGCCTCTGCCTCGGCCAGCTCCACGCCAACGCCTACCACAGCCGCCGTGAGGACCCGGGCAGCCACGGCACATTGGGCCTCCATGGACACCACAGCCACGGAGGCGGCGGGAACAGCAGCAGCAGCGTGCAACAGATTCGCAGTAAAATCGGTTTCGGCATCGTGCTGAGTCGTGAGCCGGACGGAGTGTGGGTGTACAATCGCAGCCAGCACCCGGTGTTCGTGCACTCGCCCACTCTGGACCCACCCAGTGCTCGAGGACTGAGCGTGAAGAGGGTGATGCCAGGCTTCTCCCTCAAGGTGTTTGATTACGAGTGCTCCAGCTGGATGGCGGAGCACGGCGTGAAGCCCGAGAGCCAGGAGGGGCCCTGGGACCCCCACAGTGTTCGCATCAGTTTTGCTAAAGGATGGGGCCCCTGCTACTCCAGACAGTTCATCACCTCCTGCCCCTGCTGGCTGGAGGTGCTGCTCAACAACCACAGATAGCACACAAACACTCAGACTCACAGGAGGTGTCCTGACCCAGTATCCTAATTGTAATCTACCTAGATTTAATATAAAATTTATATATTATATAAAATATATTATACATGTAAATACTTGAGTCATTTTTACGATGCAATTATTTATGTATAGTGTAATGTGTATATGGACAAAATAAAAAAGGAACAAGAATATGCACTTTTGATTCTCTATATGCATTACAGATTCTCAGTGTCATTTTACATCAACATAAACTGTAAGACAAACCTGGTTTATGTTCATGATTTAGCATTTCCATCAAGAAGTATGCCACACACACATTGTCAATAAAGTATTTGTATTAAATGAAGGTTTCTGTGGTGGACTTGAGTGATTTTATTAGAGATTGGTTGACTTGTGTGAGCTGCAGAGTTGCTTTTTTTTTTTTTAATTTTGCCTGTTTTCTTCCTTAGCAAGTCGACTGATTCTGTTTACACCGTAGATTTCAGCATCAACAGGATTTGTTTTTTGAGCTTTGGACAGGCTCAGGCTAACTCACTTTACTCTTAGTTCTAGGTCAAACTACCATCTTCGTAGTTTCACATTTTATGGAAAAATAAGAGGCAGGTATTGATTTTAGAATACAAGTGTATTCTACTAAATGAGTAAAAAGTGTGCTCTGCTGTAAATGCCACCAGTTGAGGTTTTTCACTCCACTGTCTGTTAAATAACAGTTCAAGCTCCTTCCATTGGTGTCATGAGACAAGTTTTGGCAGTTAGACAAAATAATCAAAGGTCAGATGTCATTTTTATATTTTTTCATTTATTAGCTTTTTGGTGCTTTTAGCCATTTCTCATGATTGTTGCATAACAGAGTGTGAAACTAGAGTCACATGATCATATTCTTTACTGACTTAGAGTTGATGTTTTGACCTCTGCAACTTCATAATTTACAAGCAAAATCACAAATATAGGCCGGATTTGTCGTTCAAGGTCGAGTCTGTGATTTTGAGTCACATTTATTGATATTTAGCGAGTTAGCCAGATGTAGCATCCCACCGCTACACTTCTTACATCTCCCATGTACAACAAACAGGCACAACCACAAATGTACACCGATCTCGCTGAAATAATTGTTTCCCATTTACAGAGCCACATCTGTGCACATACAGTGGACTTGTGGGGGAAATTCACTGAATTAGAAGACAAACCTGTTGGATTAGAATTGCTTACTTCATCTTTAAGATGCTGCGAGCCTTATATCAGAGCCAAAGCAATTTTAGCTAAGCTGCGGTTGACATGCAGTTCTTCAAAAATGTAAATTCAGGTTGGGATTAGAATTTTTAGTTCCAGTGAAGAAAAGATAGTCACAGTTTTAAAGAAATGTTCACTTATTTTCTCCCTTTCAAGCCATTTCTGCTCCAGCATCACAGTCATAGTAAATGAAATAAACACACTGACTGCATGGCATTCGTCTTCTGTTGGTAATGAGACAAAGAAAATTACAAGTTATCTGGTGTTTCTCCTGTTTTACAGCCACACAGCTCAACATCATTTGACAAAGTGAAAGAATGTAAACACAGTTACTGCATGGAAGATAAAGCACAGCACAGCCTGGGCATGTACAGCACATCTAGGTTTGCAGTAATACTAACAAATCTGACATATTTAGTCAGGTTAGTAGCTCCAGGTAACACAATGATGAGTGAGCAAGCTGAGGAAGAGCTCTTAAAAGCTAATGAGTTTACCTTTGCGCTTAGATTTGTTTTAATTTGTACTAAACGTGCATGTTTTGTTGTGTCTCCACGCATACGACCTGTTTCATTCCACATTCACTGCATGTTCTTCAGAAATGGGTTCAAACTGTATGAATCCAGTTTTAACTATCTCCTTGGCATTAAAAGCACCAGCAGCAATGGAAAACAGTGAAAGGCGTCACAGTGCCAGTGGTAAGAAAATAAGGCGCATAACTGAGAGATTACACAACAAACCACAGCAGGGCACTCAGGGCCCAAACCGAAAGTTCTGTGTTTACAGCGTAATGGCATCCTGTTTGAGTCTCTCGACAACACCATTATTTATGGCAACTCATATTTGAGGAAGAGGTCAAAGAATAGGACCAGCGAGATGAAAAAGTAATGCAAACTTTAAAAAAACTATGAAAAAGAAGCAGCAGCAGCAGCAAGACTTTGCTCAGCTTTGACATTTTTGTTTTGACCCTGAACTTCTGCAGGCTGCTTTGCTTGAAACCTGTAATTAACTTTAGCCTGAAAAGTAAAGAGAGGTTGATTACAAAGTTGCAGCACTCCTGAGGAAAAAAAAAATTAAGCACTACAATCTTCAAAAAATCGCTGCAGTGTGACAGTATGCGTTCGGGCTGAGCTCAAAATAGATGTGACAGCATTATGGGTACAAAAAGCAGCGGCGTTCGTGGAGTACGGTGTCGTAGTTTTACACTTTGTATAACTGGATAAAACCTTTTGTGAAAGTTCTGTGCATTCCCATACACCCCCCAAAATTCCAATGTATATTTCCGTCAAGTCTCCTCTCTGCTTTTCCAGGCAAAGTGTGGGGTTTGTGGTCAGGATACAATGGAAGGATTCAGAGGAGGGGTTGGGGTGGGAGAGTTGCTGCTGGCAAGACCAGTTCAAAAACGTACCATGTTTCTCTTCCATCTCTTCTTTGGTTTTCTCATCTGAAAACACCCGGGCCCAGTCTCCTGTCTTAATTGTTTTCCTTTGTCAGGACTCAGAGTCATGAAGACGGTGAAATGGATCCCAGGCAGTGAGCGGCGGAGGAGGGTTTCTTGGCCCTCGTCTTTGGGGCTGCGGTGGCTGCTGACCTCACTGTGAACTGAAGGAAAACGGGCTAATTCTGCCACTGGCTCACGAGCTCCACCCCTTCACCGTATAATTATCCCTGTACAGATTATGATGTTATAATTATGTTAATGAATACGTCAGGCATGGCTAATTAATGGAAGACATTCTCTGCTTTTGCTACAAACAGGGTGAGTGATTGCTTGAAGGGCCATGCCAGTGTGTTTACAGGTTTTTCAGCTCCAGAACTGCAAATCATGTAGATTTTGTGTTTTTTAATTGATCATTTTTCAAATGCAGTGGTTTCCATCCTGTGGGTTGAGGCCTCCTATAAAAGGGCAGCAAGTTCAATGTGAGGGGCTGCAAGATTAACAGTGTAGGGAAGCACAAATCATTCAGCGGTTGAACTGGTCACAGGAAGCCACAACATTAAAACCACTGCCAGGTGAAAAGAATGACATTGATCATCTCGTTACAATGCAACGGCCTGCTGGCAAACCTCGCATCTTGGCATTCATGTGGATGTTACTTTGACACGAAACATCAACCTAATCGGCAGCAGCGTCCTCGGGCAGGACAATGCGTTCGTCCACACCGCAAAGGAACGAGTTGAGGACCATGATAAAGAGAACAAGGAATTGACCAAGACTCCAAACTCCCCAAATGTCAGTGTGATTGAGCATCCAGGGCTGAATCCATGGAGGTCCAAAGCCACAGAACCCAAAGGATCCACTTCCAGAGGTCCCGTGTCCTTTCTGTCGACAGGTCAGAGCTGTTTTGGGGATCTACACAATATTAATGTTGTGGTTGATCAGTATCGGGGTGCCACATGTAGGCTGTGCTTTATTTTTAAGAGGTCACAAGCCAAAAAAAGTTGCCTAATCACAGGTGTACAGCTTTAGATTTCCAGATGTACTCGTGTTCTCCTTCTATTTCCATCAGATTCTTTTCAAATGTTACAGCTAAAGAGCCAATCACATTGAATATTTTGTTGGTCTGTATGTTGAGCAATTCAACAGCAGATTCACGTGAAAAGTTAATACTAATTGTAACACTCAAGCTGATTTGATGCACTTTTCAAATCGTGAAGACATATTTAGAATCCACAAAGTGCTTGATGAAAACTGAATTTAAATGTCTCACATGGTTTGTACAATACTGTAATTAGCTGAGATGTAAAGGATAAAAGTGCTGCGTGATCTGGACCATGAAACAAAACATTAATTTTCTACACAGATATCTAAACAAATGTACTATATTTTAAGAGTTTGAGTCACAGGTAAGATTAATTTATTACATGCAACACTGTAAAATCTGACAACTTTCACATTTACGATAAACACATACAATAGGCCTAAGAAAAGCAGTGTATTGTTAAATATTGATGCAGTTTCCCTTCACCTTTTCACCCTCTGACCTCTTACAGAAAGGCAGATATCAGATATCTGAGAGTTGTTAGCGGTTCCACCCAAGAGACTTTCCCCCCTCAGCTTGTCAAGTTTCATGTAGCTGACAGTTTGAGACGTGAATGAACACAAATTTGTGTTCTTGTATTGCACAACTGTGTATTTTTCTGCCTTTTCACCACATATATCCTGTCACCATTTAGAACAACAACCATGGCATGATAAAAACAAGGGGTCGGCCTACAAACACATTGAATTTGTGTAGGCTTCATGGAAGTAGAACTTTAAATGCAGGATTTGTAAATGAGTACTTGAAAAAAATTACTTGATATTAGTACATTTATACTGTAAAAAAAAACCCAAACATGTTTAACAGTTTATATGTGTCATTTTTTAAATACAGTTTTAAATACAGTTATTTTACAAATTTGGGAAATTATAATCAGTACAATCACTGACATAATTTACATATTTAAAAAAACAAGTAAAAACTAATTATTGGGTTTGTTTTATTTAGTTTTTTACAAAAATTAGTTTTTCATTTGTTTGTTTTGTACTGTAAATTACACAATTGTTTTTAGTGTGCTTATAATAGCAAACATTGGCATAATTTGGGAAAATATCTGTTTATACATCAAGGACTGCAAAATGGCAATTAAAAAAAAAGTTATTTCTAGTAAAGTCACAGAAAAAAAAGTATTAATTTACATGTTGACTGTAAAAATAAATAAATAAAGGCTAAAGTCATAAATAATGTTCACATCAAAAAATGGTATTCTTCCAATGAAGATGTTCTTTCATAACATTTGACCAAAAAAAATCTGCAAACATTATCTGACAGATATTTGCTATTATTTAAAAGAAATATATATATATT